TCCAGAGCCAAATAGGAAGAATGCCTCATTTCTGCTAGGCTGTCCCATTACATCTTCTTTAAGGAGGCTTTTTGATTCTAGGACTGCAAGAATCTAACTAGCTGGTGTGGCCGTATTGACAGGAAGCAATAATACCGGTAGCTGTTGTTCAACACATCTGGGAAAATAAAAAAAAAAACCTCTGAAAAAGTTTGCACTGCTGTGCTAACTTGTCATGGGGATACACCTGTAATAAAGTTCTGTATTCATTACTCTAAAACAGGTTTTGAATATTATTTAGGGAGCTAGATGTAAAAGACTCCTCAATACTTAATGGAAAAATACTTTTAATGTCATTTTTTTCTATTTTTACCAGTGCTAAAATGTAGATGCTCTTTATGAAATCTAGAAACAATTGTTGCTATATATCACTTTTAAAAACATTTCAATAAGGAATGTTGCTTTTCTGGGAGAGGCTATGCCAGTTGAATTATAATCCAGTAACTGAGTTCACACAGCATAATTAGCCATGGTTAACTTGATCATGGCTTACTCAGTTGACTAATTATCCAAGTTTTCATAAGCCACCTGTGCTGGGTTCCCACAATGTGCTTGTCTCCAGTTGTTTAGTTTGCTCAAATGTTAATTCTCATGGGAATGATTGCGTCAAGGATAGCTTTTAGCAGGTAAATATGTTGAACTCATAAAGATTCAGAAGATGGAAAACAATGGGCAGATGAGCCAAGAAAGGATAGGTTTAAGGGTTGCTAAGGGCTTGTTAATAAGCTGAATGATATGCTATGATAATCTTTTTGAAAAGAGTAAAAGAGGGTAGTAGAGGAGACAGGGGACAAATAAGCTATAATCGTGAAGAAAGGAGTGCAATGACAAGACAAGTTAGTCCTGAGGGGAAAAGGACTAAAGCAGCGGTTCTCAACGTATGGGTCGCGACACCATTTGGGGTCGATCGACCATTTCACGGGGGTCGCCAAGCAAGGCTGTCCGCCATTTTTTTTCCCCCTTTTCCGGCGGGTGCCTTACCTCCCTTGGGCTGGGCCAGCTGGTGGTCGGCCTGCTCCGTCTCTGCCGCTTGCCAGCTATGCCTCGGCCGGCGCAGGGGGTGGAACCACGCATGCGCGGCGCTCCCGGGCAGGGAAAGTCCTCGACTTACGACCGGTTGGGTAGTCCTCGACTTACGACCGGTTTAGTCCTCGACCTACGACCGGTTTAGTCCTTGACTTACGACCGGTTTAGTCCTCGACTTACGACCGGTTGGGGGTCACGGCATTAAAAAGGTTGAGAACCACTGGACTAAAGCATGCTGACTAGGGAATTCTGGAAACTGAAGTCCACACATTTTAAAATTGTTAGGGTTGAGAAACACTGCTCTGGTGTGTCCTATGGAATGTATCCTTCACTGTGTGGGTTTACATTTAAACAGACATCTGGATGAAACGCATTTGGCTTGTAAGGAGGGGCTTAAAAAGATATAGCAAGTGGAAGACAAAATGTGATATTTATTTTTTTCTAACTTGGCAGTCTTTGCAGTCTATCTGGCAATAAGTAACTAACAAAATAAACATGCAAACATGAACGTGAGCTTTTGAGTTCCTCTGAAGACATCCCTGAGCAGTTGTTTGCCAATGTGTTCTTCAGTCTCCCTCCCCTCCCCAATAGGAGCTTAAGGTAGGAAATGGAGGAAATAAATACTTTCCTTAATAGACACATCAGAGATAGCTAAAACTCCTACACAAGTTTTAGGAGAAACTTGTTTGATCCTTACAAAATATGGGGAGGACATGCTACTAAATTTACCCTTTGTGAACGCACATGGATACACATACACCAAGCTCAATTCCCAGCATTTTAGAACAGAGGGTAATGTGTATTATCACGGGTGTTTTTGCCCCCCCCCTCTATCTTATAATATAACTAGCCATGCAAAACCTCCTAGAATTTCTAAGCATGTCTCTAAAAATTTGGTTGTTCTTTGTGTGCAAATTTTCCACTCAGAAGGACACATTAACATAAACATTGACTTGGCTCCCACCAAAAACACTGTAATAAATAATTCTGTAGAGTTTATGAGCTCCTCTCCTCTGCATTCAGTATCCCAGCTCTTTCTGTAATTGATGCCTGACTCTTATCTTTTTTTAAAAAAAAACAACAACATACATATTTGGTATTAGTGTAACTACTATAGTATACCAAATGTTGGAATTGCACTCCTATGGCAATTCCTATGAAAATGAGTTATCTGTCAGTGCCTGGTGATTTGATCAATTATTAATTAATTAATTTTTGAAAACTAATAATGGCCTTCTAGATCAGTGGTTCTCAACCTTTTTAATGCCGCGACCCCAACCGGTCGTAAGTNCCGGAAAAGGGGGGAAAAATGGCGGACAAAAAAAATGGCGGACAGCCTTGCTTGGCGACCCCCGTGAAATGGTCGATCGACCCCAAATGGGGTCCCGACCCACAGGTTGAGAACCACTGTTCTAGATGATGGCCCTATGTTAAAATAGAATAATGTATCTAAAATATAATAGAATGAAGTTACTAAAACTACAATATGTAGTAAATTGCATAAACAATAAACCATCAGCATTTAAAAAGACAGTAAGAACTGCAGTATAATAATAGTCCTTGTAAAACACAGATAAGCACTCACTAAAATGAGCATTCCTCAAATTATTGTGCTACAAACTAGAAAGAGTGTTTAGAATCTTGTGAAATACCCTTTCTTTTAAAGATTTCCCAATAGATGGCCTAGCTGACTTTTGCTGATCTCTGAAGCTAAACACGGTCAACCCTGGAATAGTTGGAAGACTGTTTGGTATAGGTTATTGTGGGAAGTTACATAAACAGCCTTGAAGAAGACAATAGCAAAAAAAATAAAAATCCAAGTCTGTGACATTGCCAAAAAAATTGTATGGATGTCACTAAGAGTTGAATGCTAATTGAGGATGTCTTACCAACATTTCTGGATGGGGGTTCTTTATCCTTTCACCAAAATATTCTCCCTTCAGCTCAGTTTATAAAGAAGATTTTTTGTATATTTCTGCCAATAACTAAGAAGTACAGAATTGAATAAATCTTGTGCCAGACCTGAAATACCTGGGTAACTGTGCAGCCATATGTCTTGCACATAGGGAAGTAATCAGTTGCTTATTACCTGTTTTAATAAGCGAGGTTTCAACATACATTGAGAGTTCATGGCATAAAGAGTTCATAAAGAGCATAAAGAGAAGAAATGGGGGAGATATGATAGCAGTATTCCAGTATTTGAGGGGCTGCCATCAAGAAGAGGGGGTCATGTTATTTACCAAAGCACCAGAGAGAAGGACAATCAAAATGGCTGGAAACTGATCAAAGAGAGAAACAACCTGGAATTAAGGAGAAACTTCCTGATAGTGAGGACAATTAACCAGTGGAACAGCTTGCCTCCAGAAATCGTGTTCGCTCCATCACTGGAGATTTTTAAGAGGCTAGACCAGTGATGGCAAACCTTTTAGAGACCGAGTACCCAAACTGCAACCCAAAACCCACTTATGTATCGTCGGGTGCCCATTGGGTGGGCGTGGCTGCAGTGGTAACGGCAGACTGGGTGGGACTAAATGTTCAATTCCAACTTTGTGAGATTTTTTTTTTCCCCGCAAGAAGTTGAAATTGATTGATTGATTGAACCTTTTTTTTTTTTGCACAAGGCGGCGGAGGCCTAAAGCGAAAAGGTTTTATAAAACCCAGCTGAAGGCCTAGGACTGGGGCGATGGCGCATGTGCCCACAGAGAGGGCTACATAGTCACTTGTCTGAGATGGTATAGGTCTTCCTGTTTGAGCAGGGGGCTGGACTAGAAGACCTCCAAGGTCCCTCCAGCTCTATTCTCTTCTATCATCTGGATTTTATTCACTATTTGTGAAACAAGTCAGGCTTGTTTGCCTGTTCATTTTCTCCATTAAGGACAATGTCTATAGATATTCTCAATCATGTTTGTCCCAAAGGTGCTTTTTCCAAAAGGCAACTAGACATTTTTGGGTTTTTTCTTTCAAAATGTTTCATTTGTCATCCAAGAAGCTTCTTCAGAAGTGAAATGTTTTGAAAGAAAAAAACCAAGAAAGTTTAGTTGCCTTTTGGACAAAACACCTTTTGAGAGAGACATCAAGGACAGTTTCCCATCTCTGTGACTCTGAATCTTGTCAACATAGCTGAGTTTCATCTGAGCTTCCTGCTCATAGATACATTTGACTTAACTGTATTTTTGTGGTTACTAGACATAAGTAAATAAATATAAGTAAATGTCCTCATCATTTATGACTGCTTTATCCTATATAGGTAGTCCTCGACTTACAACAGTTCATTTAGTGACTGTTCAAAGTTATAATGGCACTCAAAATAGTGACTTATGACCATTTTTTCACACTTATGACAATTGCAGCATCCCCAAGTCAGGTGATTTACATTTGGATGCTTGACAACTGACTCATATTTATGACAGTTGCAGTGTCTCGGTGTCATGGGATCCCCTTTTGCGACCTTATGACAAGCAAAGTCAATGGGGAAACCAAATTCACTTAACAACAGTGTTACTAATTTAAGAACTGCAGTGATTCACTTAACAAATGTAGCGAGAAAAGTTGTAAAATGGGGCAAAACTCATTTAATAAATTTCTCACTTAGCAACATAAATTTTGGGCTCCATTGTGGTCGTAAGTTGAAGACCACCCATTATTGGTTATTTTGCTTGTATACTATTATTCTGTAGAAATATTAAGAAGATTACAACATTAGGAAAGATTCAGACCACACAATCCAACCCATATCTTACTTAATTTATTTAGAGAAATTGGATCTTTTCTTTTAATATGAACCATGGGATCTGAACCAACAGGATCAGATGTTAAAAGAAGGGGAGTGTTGGTAATACAGTACAATTTATTCAAAAGCAGACAGAGATGGATTTTTCATTACTGGAGGCTTTTAAGTACTACAATGTTGAGTGCCTTTCAAGGATTCTATAGCAATGGTTTCCTTTAATGGCAAGAAGTTGAACTACAGTACAGGTAATCTTCAACTTATGACTGATCAGATAGTGACCATTCAAAGTTACAATGGATTTTGAATTTGACTTCCCATTTCCACTTGGTAACCAGCCCACATTTATGGCCATTTGTAGCATCTACAGTCACGTGACTACAATTTATGATGTTTTTCCAGAAAACTGTGTTTACTTCCGGTTTCTGGCAAAAATGCCCCATAGCGAGCATTGGGTTCAGTTAATGATGAATGTATTTGATTTACAACCACTATGTTTGCTTAATGACTGCTGTAAAAAAAGTCGTAAAATTGGGTGTGATCATGTGATGACCCCGTTACAACTTATGACCAAAATTGCAGGCTCCATTACAGTCATAAGTCGAGGGCTACTTGGAAATGAAATTGCTCCAGTTCTATGGTTCTGTATTAGTTCATACCATATGTTAAATCATAATGTGCTTGATTTAGTTTTAGCAATAATAATAATAATAATAATAATAATAATAATAATAATAATAATAATAATAATAATAATAGAAGAGTTGGAAAGGAAAACCTATACCATTTCAGACAAATGGTTGTCCAGTGTCTTCTTAAAAACTTCCAGTGTTGGACCATTCACAACATTCTAGGGGCAGGTTGTTCCACTGATTAATTGTTCTAACTGTCAGGAAATTTCCCCTTAGTTCTAGGTTGCTTCTCTCTTTGGTTAGTTTCCATCCGTTGCTTCTTGTCCTGCCTTCCGGTGCTTTGGAGAATAGCTTGACTCCCTCTTCTTTGTGGCAACCCCTGAGATATTGGAACACTGCTATCATGTCCCCCCTCGTCCTTCTCTTCATTAAACTAGACATACCCAATTCCAGCAACCGTTCCTTATATGTTTTAGCCTCCAGTCTCCTAATCATCCTTGTTGCTCTTCTCTGCACTCTTTCTAGAGTCTCAGCATCTTTTTTACATTGTGGTGACCAAAACTGGATGCAGTATTCCAAGTGTGGCCTTACCAAAGCATTATAAAGTGGTATTAATACTTCACATGATCTTGATTCTATCCCTCTGTTAATGCAGCTTAGCACTGTGTTGGGGGTTTTTTGGCAGCTGCAGCACACTGTTGGCTTGTAATTAAGTGATTGTCCACTAGGATTTCAAGATCCCTCTCACAGTTACTACCATTAAGCAAGGTACCACCTATACTGTACCTGTGCATTTGGGTTTTTTGCCTAAAGGTAGAATCTTACTTTTTTCACCATTGAATTTCATTTTGTTAGATGGTACCCAATGTTCAAGTCTGTCCAGATCTTTCTGTATCTTAAGCCTATCTTCTGGAGTGTTGGCTATTCCTGCCAGCTTGGTGTCATCTGCAAATTTGTGTGAAGTTAGTTATTACGATATTTTATGCTTTAGTATATTATCTAAAGAAATAAAAATGTGATTTCCTATTTGTTCATAGGTAAAGGGACTATGACTTAGTGCAATGTATGCATTCTAATATATGCAAGCTATGATTTTAGTTACTCATTGCTTCTTCATTTTCTTACGGTTTCTTGTGCATGCTTAAAGACTTAAAGAAAATGGATAAATATTTCTGATGGTTGTATAATAATAGAGAGCTTTGTGTGCCATAAGAACCACATGTGGCTCTTTAGAAAACATGGACTAATGAATATATTTATGGAAGGAAATATCTTCCATGGAACCTTTGATGCATTAAGTGGGAAGGGACTGTTTCAATAACCCAGTTTCTGTGATCCTGGCAACTGTTGTATTTTATAACCTGCTGCAGAGGCTTTTGTGAAATGTTATTCTATCATGTGACTGGTGTTCTCTCCCTGTTCTTCTTTAGGAACGCTTCAAAGATGCAGCATTGATCCAAAGGCAGCTACTGATCTTCAGATCTTGCTGAAACTACTGAATTCTGCATAATGATGTCGTTGGGACACTTAAGCAAGGGGGTCAGCCTAGATGAACTTATTGATACATGTATTGATTCTTTTGGTGAGTTGATTGTATTTTAACCATTTTCACAATTTTTGAATAGTGTTTTTAGCTTTTGAGTAATTTACTTTGTAGTGTTTTATATATAATTATGTGTGACGTGACATTTAATATTATTCTTACCAGATATAAACCATTACATGTTTTAGCAGTATTGATGATGCAAGTGCTGCCTTTGCAAAAATTAACCAGTCCACCAGAAATATCACGGGTGCTATTCCATGCGATCTATCTCTGCCCAGCTCTGAATAACAGGCATATGAATAAGTAAAAAAATGTAGATGGTATTTTGCAGAACTGAACTAAGTATCAGTTAAGGATATTTGTTTTATTCTGCACTTTTAAAACGTAGCTCACAACTAAATTGATAGCTAATTTGAAGGAAAGTACTTGTTCTATCATAAAAACAATATTTCAGCCTTGTAAAAAAGAACATAATTTATAAAACTGAGTTGTTAAGCTTTTAGTTGGCATATGCATGATTCATGCTTTTCAATACTTTGTTGACAGAATAACTTTAAATAGAGATAATATTGTACAGCCAATCCAATGCATGCTTTGGAATATGTCTCTGGGGATTGAATGGGGTTTAGTCCCTGGTAAGTTATATTCAGTTGGATTTGTAAATGTTTAAAATCTTTTTTACTCTGTTTATCAGTTTCCTTTAGTTCATAAATTGCTATTTATTTTGTTCATAAAGTGCACATAAATGCAATACAATTATTAAGTGAGAAATGCTGGAATTTTGATTTTTGTGACTTTATATTTTAAAGTATTGTCTACGTTGATTCTTACATTTTCATTTGCTATGCCTGTTAGGTTGTATTTGTGATCAATATATAACTGTAGGTATATTATTGTAGTAGCAGGTGAATAAGCTGCTTTTTGTCCTTGTTTCTTCCTCCTACTTACATACAAAGCACGACAAGTACAGATAGTTAATCCATTTGAATTATAGTTCATTCATGTGCATGTAAAATAATACACTTTGATAGCTTTTTTTCCTTGTGAACAATTTAGAGCAGTGAATAGACTTAGCAGTGAACACCAAACCTTCCTGACTAATTCCACCATTACATTCAGAGGAAAGCATGCACATTATTTATTTATAACAAAGCATTTATAAAAAAAATATTTGATTAGTGGAATTTCCAACAATATTTTTGTTTCCATATCATATCTAATTCATGTAATGGTTATGCTTTATTCGCAGTGCGATAAAGAAGTGAAATGTATACTTACACAATTATCAAAGTAATACATATTATTCCAATTTCTGCTTTGACAAATTAAATGAACTAAAGAACATAGCATCCCTTTTGCTGATGTGTTAAATAATTGAACTGAAGGGAAATTTTCTATATATACTATTTACTTATTTATTTATTTTTAAATCCCATCTTTTATTATTTTATAAGTAACTCAAGGCAACGGACATACATAATAATCTTTTCTCCTACTATTTTCCCCACAACAACAATCCTCAGAAGCGGATTGGGTAAGAGAGAGTGACTGGCCCAATGTCACCCAGCCTTGTTTCATGCTTAGGGCAGGACTAGAAGCCACAGTCTCCTGGCATCTAGTCTAGTGCCTTAATTTCTAGATCAAACTGGCTCTCATCTTTCATTTAATGTTAGTTTTTTAGTAACTAATTAGCTTTTTTCCAAATATGATAAAGATTGCATTGAGGGGTCCTTGGTGCTCTCCAGGCTTGCTTGTTTTCTTGCAGATGTTTCATTACCCTAACCAGGTAACATCATCAGTGCTAACCCATTTCAGCCCTGAGCTACAAATATTTTCCTTCAAAGATTGCATCATGAGACTAATGCTGGGCAAACTGACATAGGGGGAAATGCTACTGGAAACTTAAAGATTCACAGATTTGTTTGAGCTTCTGGGTTGATTTAGCTATTATGTTCCTGTAAATTAGTTGTGAAAAAGAACAATTAACTGTGGATTAAATCACTTTATATAGTACAGTATGTTCAAAAACTGTGTTTCAGCTTGTATTGTTTCTGAAGTGTTCCTGTGCTGTTTGTTTTACAAAGCTCAAGAATGCCTTGCATTGGAAATTTAAAAAGTGGGTTTTGAAATGAAACACCTATAATTTCATTGATATACTTGAGTGAAATTGGTTTGGAGAATGTGCATTGTGTTGAATATGCTGAGCGTTTCCAATAGTTCTATACAATGAAGAACTGAGTACAATAAACCAGAGAAGTTTTAAAGAAGTTACTCAATTACTTTTGGAAACTATAAGTAATACATTGGTGGCTGCTCTGCTACAATATTTCAAATGCAAAACACTACGTGTTCAATTAATTATAGCAATAGTCAGTATAGTTTATACATTGGAATTGCTATCAATGCAATTTTTGCAGGACAAAAAGTACACAGTTTAAATTCAGTATTATGCAAAAGCATTACTGTATGTTTCACTAAGTTTAAATTATTTAAACTATGGCATGAAGGATAAATCCTTAGGATTTTGAGCTGAGATAATACCATTTAGGTCAAAAATGTGACCACCACAAATTGTTGATTATGTAAGATAAATTACTTTTGGAAGAGGTGGTTCATACATTTTTCACTTGGAATTAAAATGAGTTTTAAGTCCAATATGCATGCATTTATATTTCTGAATGGATTTATAGATATGTATCTGGCTGGTTTTTTTTTGAGGGGATCTGAACATAGTTCAGAAATATATGTCAGGAATGGACAATGTGCAACTCTTCAGATGTTAGGGAATGATGAGAAATACAGTCCAACATTGTATTGAGGAGCATACTGTGTGTGTTGACCATGTAGAAATTTCGCTTCCATTAAATCATAATTATTAAATTAGACTTGTGCTTGACTTTGCTACTAGGCAATACTTTAGTTGTATAAATCCCTATTGTGTTCTTTATAAAACTATAGATCTTACTGCTCCTTTCCATTAATAACTTTTCTGATGTCTTCTCAGCTAACTACCATTCATTTAATGACTGGTCGAACTTCTGCGGACCTATCTGAGGAGTATTTATAACTCAGATACTACTACTACTACTAGTAGTAGTAGTAATAGTAATAATATTAATAGTAGTGGGATGAGGTGAGGCAATTCAGAAAGCAAACAGTTGGGGGTTGGGGCAGAGGTAATTGCCATCCATATACAGGTGATCCTTGACTTAGGACCACAATTAAGCCCAAAATTTCTGTTGCTAAGCAACATATTTGTTAAGTGAATCATTTCCCCTATTTTATGACCAGTTGTTAAGTGAATCATTGCAGTTATAATAATGATGATGATGATGATGTTGGAAGGGACCTTGGAGGTCATCTAGTCCAACCCATTGCTCAGGCAGGAAACCCTATACCATTTCAAACAAATGGTTATCCAGTCTCTTCTTAAAAACTTCCAGTGTTGGAGCATTCACAACTTCTGGAGGCAGGTTGTTCCACTGATTAATTGTTCTGTCAGGAAATTTCTCCTTAGTTCTAGGTTGCTTCTAGATTCAAAGTTCTGATGGTTGCCTCATCTGTGGTCACATGACTGCACTTCAAGTGTTTGGCAACAGGACTACATTTACAGGTGTTTACAGTGTCCCATGGTCATGAGACTGTGC